CCACCATGCCCAGCTAATTTTTTGTATTTTTAGTAGAGACGGGGTTTCACCATGTTGACCAGGGTGGTCTCAACCTCTTGACCTCGTAATCCACCCGCCTCAGCCTCCCAAAGTTCTGGGATTACAGGCTTGAGCCACCGCGCCCGGCAAGGTTATTCTTTAATTGTGTTTGGATAATCATGGTGCTAAATCAATTACTGACTGAGTTCCTACTGCATGGGTTGTTGATAACTTACAGAGCAGAAATGGAACATGCCATCCTTGCTGGTATAGATAGACAAGTGAACAATGAATTGTCATAGGCTGAGAGTTTCCTCTAGGGCACACTGGAAAAGCATTATCTCCAGGGCAAACTCATCACCATTTCTGTTGGAGGAAAGCAACTTAGAAGCCCTCCATCTTGGATTCTAAATTCTCAGAATTTTTTAAAAATTAGCTTCTCAAAAATCTTATTTGGTCCAAATTATTTGTATATTGTTAAGAAATAATTCACTTTTAATTTTCAATGCATCATTGCTATTATATATCTTTGACTTAGCAGATGCTAGCTGAATACCTGCATTAAAATGATAGTTCTCTGACCATCATGATACTTGGGAGTTAGGGGTTGGATAAAAAGTGCTAGACTACAAAAAAGTGGTATAAGAAATACCCTTAAGTTTTGCAGTACCAATGAAGTCATAAATTATATACTAGAATAAGTAGCATCTAGGAGAGGGTGTATACAAAGGACATTGCAGGTGGTGTGAGCAATGTGGGCTCTGGCCTTTCTGAGGAAAGTGTTGTGGGAGACCTCGTGTTGAGGGTATAACTCAGGTATATGGGCACAGGGGAAAGGAGAGGGGACTTCAGAAAGCCTAAGATTATGAGGAAATGCAGGAATAAATTGTTAATGTGATTGGGTCTGGGGTTGGAGTGGAGGAGGGTTGATATCTTTCAATGAGAGCAAAGAAGTGATGTGTTTGGAAACATAGATTGATATCAACTATATGCTAGGCCAAAGAGTTTAGAGTTTGTTTTTTTGAGAACTAGTAAAGGTTTTGAATGGCAAATGAAAGGATTAATGTGATCGAAGCAAGGAAAACTATTTAGGGGACTAATTTTAATGGTCTAGTTAGAGTCTATGAAGATCTAAACTAGTTCTCTCCTGAAATAAAAGGCACTGTGGAGGAAGAATGAATAAAATGTTTTATCTTTGGTTGCTTGTATCTTTTCTTTTCTTGTCATAAATATATTTTGATTATGGATTTATTTGGAAATTATACTTTTAAAGCTTACTTTTAGTAGTTACTGACGCACAAATTGGATTCTCTTTTTTGTGTTAATAGCTGAAACATAAATTATTTTTTAGTGACTAAATGATAAAGCTTTTAATTATATTTAATTTTAAATATTTCTGTCCATTTTTTCAAAAATAAGGTGATGGTCTTTTTTGTTATTTACATATTTTTGACATGCAGATTCTCATCAAAATTTTCAAGAGCAAAAGCCAAATTGGGCTCATAGGGTAATGTCTTGTGCCTCTTTAGCTACTTATATAAATGGTGATTTAGTGGTTCTATCACTATTATTCATTAGGGTTTTTGCTCTGACTAATATGTGTTAGGCATATCTAGAAATTTCTAACAGATACCTAACAAATGGCTGA